CCTATCGAAGACGGACCTCCGCTGCATTGTACCGCTCTGTATTTGTAGCTTACATTGCTCGTATTCAGTTGTGCATTAGAAGGGAACATACATACATAAAAAAACACATGTGCTTACATGTAAGCATACTTGTAAATGAAAATAAACATAACATGAGTGTCTGAGTGCAAGGTGCACGTAGGCACATACAAACATACCTGTGCAATTATTTATTTTAATAAACAATTATTCGAATTTTTGAATTTAAAAAATAACAGAAAGCAACAACGGCACATCTCATAATAAGGTAAGCTGTCTGTGGTTTATTTTAAAAGCATTTTGATTTTGATAAAGAGTCTTCGCAATTTTTGTTTACCTTATACCAAATTTCAAATTCTCTGTTTCTTATTCAATTCTATTTTAAATTTACACTGATCTAATCGTTCTTTATACATAAATGCATTCAAATCAAATTCCATCAAAAGAAATTCCCATAGAAAATCAAACTGACATTGGGCAAAGTATATTGCCCCCTTTTTACAGATTCAAGAACTAAAGCAAGTGCATATATATGTATGTACATACACATTAAATTTCTGAAATCGAAAGCTCACTCTATACTAGGTATGAACTTTAAATTTGCACATTTATAAATACAAATGTACATATGTATGTACATATCATCAACACCATTCAGCCGACTGTGTGTCTACTTCAACACATTGATAGGCGGGTGATTTTTTTTGTTTGGATTTTTCCACGAATTCGCAGAAGAGCTCAAATCAAACTGATGATTTTGTAATAGCTCTGTTATTTCTTGGAAAATACATTTTATTAAACAACAAGAGACGACAGCTAATTTTGAAATATTGAATATTGAATACCCTTGTAGACATATGTATTTGCTTAGAAAGATTTGTATACAATCATTTTATTAATATGTACATACATATGTACATATAAAGCTCTGCGAATATCTTATGAGAATGGTAAAGCTTCAAGTAACTGAGCTTAGTCAACAAACAATATTGTTAACCCATCGCGTTTGTGGTATGTAGGTGATTTTTCTGAAAAGTAGGTCAAAAATATACGAACACAGTTTTCGTTTAGGAATTTTCCGATCATACCTTTGGCAACTTCATACATATGTACAATATGATACATTCGTCTTATTCAGCTGGCCGAAAGATTATATTAGACTTAACTCACAAGATCGTAGATGACTCCATCTGTGTGTTACTCATTTCGAGATAAGATTTGAATACCCACTACAAGGGTATAGAAAAAAACTGGCGTATATTTAATAAACAGCCGCATTTATTTACACGACGGGACGGAAAGTCGCGCATTTGATGAAACCGTAGCGCGACCTTATCAATTTATGTCAGCCAAAGGTCGTTAAGATACTTTGCTTCCACAGTTCGTTCACATATTTAGTTTTAATTTGCTGTGGATTCTGTTGACAACGTGACTTATCTACGAATTGGTTCTGAGCTGTTGATCTGGCTGGAGCTGCTCACATGTAAATACATTCGTTAGACAAAAACTGGCCAGCTGGAAAGCGGACAGACAACCAAAAGTCTGACGTGGCAGCAATTTTTAATCGAGTTTTGCGGCTATTGAAACAAAACATATTTTTTTTTTTAATTTTAAAGATGGAATATTACGACTATCTCTGGGACACCGACTCGTTAATACACTTGTAAACATATGTCAGATGTGTTATCTTTACCATCGACTGATTGATTCTATTATAATTATTATTATTGTTATACTGCATCTCAATAGTCGAGATGACTCGACTCAAAATCCCCTGCACCCCTCAGTTACCTATTCTGGCTTATGGCATCACGCTTTGCTTTCTTTAAATCATAAAATACAGCCACTTACCATAAAACGTTCTAGGAAATGGGGAAATATTCATAATTTATGTATGGTATACATACTAAAGTAGTAGTAGTAGTAGTTTTTTTTTTCTCGTTTTATTAGCTAATTTATTGATACTATACATGAGCATCTTAACCTAGCTTGACTATAATGGGATAAACATACCTAATATTACCTATTAAGTTTTATAATTATTCAATTTATCTTATATTTTTAGTATGATTATTATTACTTTTTTTTTCTTTCTTAAAATTTTTGCGTTATGCTTAAAAAACCAAATCTTGCTTACGATGTAAGAGAATGTATATTTCAAATTTAAAGTGTCTAGCACTTATAGTTTTTATTAAGATTAAATACCCCTGCAGGCCAGAATCCAAGAATGCAATGAATTTCCTTGATATGAGAGATCTTAATTCAATACGGTTCACTCTTATTCCTATGCAAACTTACCTCTCAGCTTTAATTATACCGACATACAAGCTTTCATAAGTTCGATATTTTTTTGCCGGCAGAAAAATGTCGGAATCGTCTGGGTCCGAACACTATTATGATATATACATCGTACAATGTATCGATTGTTTATTAATTCAATTATTAAAGGATAAATTGTAATTCAGTTTAATACCTTTACAATAAGTGTACTAAATTATTTTTTCTTCAACCTTCAACTATGAGTCATTACCAGCCGTGGTCCAGCTGAAGATACCTTTAAATGCAATTAAAGAGGTGTTCTCAGTGCAGCTGATAAAATACCCAAGAATCCAAAGAACACGTAGATACATATTTTAACGAGCCAGCCATAATAAAAAAAGCGAACAACAGTTTTTCAACAATTTATTATCTAAAAAAAAACATTAAGAAAGAGCTTAAAACAAAATGTTTATTGCTCGTACTGGCCTCGAACTTACCTCATTCAGCTTGAAACATTCCCTTGACTCGGTGCCACATCAAAAACTTGGCTGTGGCAAACATAACCAAGCGCTTTTTTTATAACTTCTGTGTTTTTTTTTTATTGATCTTGATATAGATCGTATTGTGCGAAAGAATATTAGTTTATTTTCAAATAGACAATTGTATCAAAATTGTGGCTTAAAGTTCCTTGTTTAATTGATTTATAACGATGTGGTGTACACGGGGACGGCGATACCTAACAGGATGCAGCTGGTGCAGAACACTTTCTACCAAATTGTCAATTTCGTCCTGGAAGCATTCCAGATATTTACTGTGGCATTCAACAGGTGTCAGACAGAGTCTGGCATTAAGGACTGTTGGATAAGCTTAAAGGAGAGTCCTATCCTTATTTCACACCGTAACAGGACTTTCAGTTCGATGAAAGGAAGAAAGGAATTGCATCCTCGAAGGAGAGGATCAGAACAGGTTTATCTCAAGTGGGCATATGAGGTACGAAGATGTGGTACATTCATTTGCATGTTAACGACCGTGAATTTGAATCAGCGCTAGAAGAATGCACATAAGATTAAAGTATGTCCATTAGTTGTTATTATTTTGTTAGTAAATAAAAGGGGATAAGGAGATGCACTCCGGTCCTTAAATGTATTTTGTGCCATAAAGCCCGTTTTGAGAGCCAGAGCAACTCCACCTGCTAGAGGTCGAGGCAATCCTTATCCGAGCAAACAATCGCACGACCCAGATACAGCTTACTATTCTCAGCATTCACAATGCCTTCACAGCAAGAGGGCAACCACATTTTGTGGAGATGGTGCCTCAACGCGTGGTTGCCCACGAGATAGTCAACCAGAACTCTGAGGTTATATTGGCAAGCCACGTGGCAGCGTTAGTAAGCACAAGAATTTCTGTATACATGTGCACGCAAACACACACAAATACAATTGCAAATGTGATTTTATGGTATCACTAACCATGCATGTTTAATTAGTTAGATGTGTGTTCTGTGTATGTGTTTGTGCTGCAGCTAAACTTAGTTATGTTTTTCAATAATTCTCTCTCCGCTTTTTTAAAAAGTGGACAACTGTGAGACGTTTCTTTTGGGCCAGGCCTTGCGAACGAGCACGCCACGCGCTGCTGTTCTGCCGCAGCCTGCGTCAACAACTTCTCTGCCGCGGTCGTAAGTAATATTGGCTGACGACCGAGCAGCAACAGAGCAAAACAGCTGCTAACCTGCTCGATCGGTTATCGCTGATTATTTCTAAATGACTCACGATTATTAACTGAGTCTGTCACTTTTTAAGCTCCTGCAAAACGCGTAAGCGAAAAACAATTACGGCTTAAAATTAGATACATATTTGAGGAAACAAAAGTTTTTAAAGATCACTTGAAATAAAATACATACATGTAAGAGTGCCCCAGTTGGGAATACCCGACTAGAAAATACCCTGAATCTTCATCTATCAATTCCAAGAGCACTTTGCGTTTCACGCTAGCGTAAGCTTTGCCAAAAAAAATATCACTGGGAGTATAAATGTTGTTTGGGTAAAGGAAAATATGTAACTAGCATTATTGAACAATGATAGAAATAATAAAGTATTTGCAAGACCTGCATTAAAATTATTGCAATTGCTTAATGCCAATACAACGGTCTTTGTCGATACATTAAGTTAATTTGTAAGCTGTAATTCCCAGACAGACTTAAAACGAATATCCGATAAAGTGAATGTTATTAGGGCATTTAGGGGCAAGCCAGAAGAATTAAACCCTAGGCAAAGGAATAGGGATTTTTTTAAGAATAAATAACTCTACTTAAGCTATTCTCCGCTTTAGGAGCTCCACCAAAAAACTGCGATATCGATAAAAAAAAAAAACAGGTTTTCCGTAATAGCGGAACATGGAGTTTAAACGACTCGCTTTTGAATTGTGCCTTTAATATTTCAAAGTGGAATCGTCTATGTTCTTCATAAACATATGAACATATATATGATATTTTTGGATATAGGTTGGCGTCTAAATGCAGTCAAATATTACCTTTACAGTAAACATTAAACAGATCATCAGCCCCTAACTTACTCTCTAAGCAGCTGAAATATAAACACCAGGAATAAACAAAGCATAGCATACTTTGAGGGGTAGCATCAAAAGTATTTTTACAAGCTGACGAGTTGTCAAGAATTAAACACTTTAGTTCGCACGACATAGGCATGTTTCAGTATGTACTTATTCAACAAAATTATATTATATAATCATACTAAATTTTACTTCATAATAATTTCAAAATTTCTTCAACCAGATTACATCGTTACAAGTAACCAATGTTACGTTTGTAAATAGCAGAACTTTCTGCAAATCCGACAAATCTAGTCGGAAATGATCAACTAGCGGATACCCTGAACTTTCCTTTAACAACATTAAATGCAGCTACGCGCTCGTTACTTCACTGTAACTGTGACTGGTGAGTAGTTCTAATCGATCCGTTTATTTTAATTATAACAAGGGGCAGAGGGTTCAGGGCATAAAAATTGGTGTTAAGAATAGACAGCTAGAAGGAAGATTCAATGAATTGAGTAAGTATCCTGCTTGATTGGCATCAGATGCGAAATTCATAAGCTAGTAACACTGTACCCTCAAGGTAAAAAGGCATTCTGTGGTTTCAGTGATGCCGACCAAATACCAAAAACAGAAGTTGTTGGGGCACAGTGAGGCACAATGAATTCAAAAATCACCTAGAGGGCCTACACTTGATTTATTGCTGAAGGAGCGAAGCCGTTGTCATAAATCCTGAATATCAAAGTTGCCTCAATATACATTTCCGCCGTTCGACAATGGTTTCTTTTACAACAAGGCGAATAATGCTGACCAAGTGTCTCCTCTTTAGGTCTCATGCTGTCCTAATCCCAATTTTCAATCACAAGCTACAACTCAGCGCTTCAGTTCGACTAGTTTCAACTTAGTTAGATTCAACTCACTTTTAAGCAGTGCGTTGATCACCAACTTTCAGGTCAAGCTCTTTTAAATACATGTATTTCTTTGTGAACACGTATGTGTCTTAATTTATGTTTTGTGCATGCTGAAGCCCGCTTTTCATGGATTTCACGAGATTTGATCAAAGAGACAGCAATGATAAAATATATTTCTTAGCAAGCGAATGGCAACTTTTTTAGCCTGGAACTGCTCACGCACCACTGCGACTGACTGACACCACCCCAGTCAGACTTTAGTAAAATAAATGATGATGGTCGCGTTTGGTTGTGAACTGGCAACTGAAATGAGAAACAAGAAACTGGACAAACTTTGTGCTCAGATTGCTTAGAAGCTGAATGGTAATACTCCGCACAGATAAGCACCGATGTCAAAAGTTTTGATTGAAATTAATAATTTTCAATTGCTCTTTCATGCTACTCTGTGCCTCTGTGTGTCCTCTTCTTTCTTAGCCGACCTCCAACTCCCCAAAAGTTGTCAATTTGTGCAAGCTGCTTTGACGGCGCTTCCTGCCTACCAGACAAGCCCAGCTCTAGTTGCCCTTGACTGCCTCGCATCATCTAGTTAAAATCGAAGCATGCTGCCAAGCCTGAATGGTTGGCGGTTGATTGTTGTCACAAGTTTTTGCAGCTACTCTCAGCAACATACATAAGCCTGGCCTGATATTGAGTGAGCAGCTTGCACGACGACCTTGTCCGCTTTCGACCTCATGCTGATGGTGATGTTGATACTGGCAATGTTGTAACTGTGATTCTTGTTGCTTATCATGACATAGTTAGTTGCGGGTCTCAGCAACAAAACACAAATGCGAAAATATGCTCTGCTTTGACTGGTTTCCCGGTACCGTGGTTGGACGGAGCCGATGCCCGGTTCTGTTTTAACATTTTGTCTATAACCATCTTCATCTGTGACACCGTTTCCATACTACTGCCATTTCATCTGTCGATGTTGCTATTGCTTGTAATGTTTAGAGCACAGGGCACAAAAATTTCCAATCAAAATCAGATAGCGTGAAACCAAAAATTCGTAACTCTTTGCTGCAGTCGTCTGAGTTCTATTCGCTACCCACCGCTGCCTATCACATTTGCCCTTCCGCCTAAATCCTAGATACTTCAAATCCTTTCCAACTACTCCCACTCCATAGCTCTCATACCACCCACGGTCACCCGATGCAACTTGAAAAGTTTTAAATGCCGCTCAACAAGCAACAAACAGTAACTGGACCTGAACCTTGGCACTCTAAAATGCCGCAGTGCACAAATTTCCCTACACACTCTTAAGCAGGCATTGAATTTGACTACTTTTATGAGTCAAAAGCGAATTATAAAGCAATAAATATATCTTGCAATACAATTCCTTTCTCGGAACCAATAAGCACTGTTGTATAGATTGCAATATTTTGCAGAAAGTTTCTTAAAAATGTACTTGAATATGTAAACTTAACTGTCTTTTTCGGATTAATAATAATGTCCGGAATCCCGATATGCCAATATTTGACTCCTCTTACACTCCGAAAATGCCAACTGCCAACGTATGGACAAATTCTCCCTGTTCTTACACTCTGTCAAGTTCTTAAATCGTGTACAGAATATCAATTTGAAATGTTTTAAAATCGTCAAATATGTAAAAAAAAACGTATGACGTTTTCACGTCAATAACTAAGGCGGATCAAAAGCTTCGATAATTGTTAATTAGAACTGCAGAAAGTTCTGCGCAGTCATGCTAATCTCTTATACAATGTCAAAGTAAGCTATCATTATGAAACGCATGTGAAATGTCAACAAACAAAATAAATGCTGGCTAAGAAAATAATTACTGCTCTCGTTGCACATTTTCAGTTTCAGTTCGCCATATATACTGTCTCTTAATTGCACAAAAGAAATCCCTTGTACCCAACAGTAAATATAAAATTTTACTTATAGCACCACGGTTTGAACTCTTCAAATATCATCATAACATGTAGTCCAATATGATTTCTAGTAAGCCTCTGCATAACTCTGCTGCGGCCAATTGTGGTTCTTACGCAGATAGTTTTTATAGGTTTTGAGTTATTCTTAAAAAAACAAGTTTCAAATATTATTGTTATTTATATTATGACTAAATATAATATGTACATATTTAAAATTTGCACAAATCTCTTTGCATCTTCCAATATCGTTAAAATATATATTTATTATATAATAAAATACATTTTTGTCAATAACTTTGTAGCCGAACGGAGGAAAATGCGTACATAGAATACAACTATTCCAACTATCTGAGAAGAAGGGCGTTTGATAATAATTGAATGGTAATCTTAAACATTGTCTGGCCATTTTTTCGAGCTTTCAAAATAAGTTTATGGCCGACCTAAAATTTCGTGCATACAACTTATTTTTGTGATACCAGAAGTCAGTAATCATATAGATACATGGTGCAGAGTATTTCCTGCTCGGACAGTAACCAAATTGTTCTTCTTGAAGTTCCTTTTGTGCAGTCTTTTTGTTTTGCGTGCTGTATATTGGGATACACAGGTCAATTGCCATTTTCATGGTGTGTGTTTGCTTGTAACATTTTGTAGCTGCCTTCAACACACGTATCAAGAGAAGCGCACCAAACTCACAGATGCATTGAAGCTGCCCTTGCGGTTGCGCGCAAATTTGCTGCTAGTTACCATTTGGCCAACTGGCCAACTGGCGGCTGCTTTCATTCCCATTGCATTTGCCACATTCCCATTCTGGTTCTCATTTCGACAGCTATCGGTTGCAGTTGCAAGCACTGCACAAAGGGGTAATTGAACCTAAAACAAACGTGCAATGAAAGTTCATGAATCCAAATCAATGACTTTTAATGTATTTGGTAGGAAAATTACGTCTTATGTAAAAGATCATGTGTTGCATTGCATGGCTCGAATGAATACTCAAATTGGGGGCTTACTTAAAAAATTACGTTCTTGGAAATGCTCACAGGTACATAAATACATGCTCATATATGCGTGTGCATTTAAGTTGCTTAAGTTAACCAACGATCATTTGTTTTCCCGTTGTCGCATTGGGCAAAGGGCCAAAATCCCAACAGATGTAGCGCCATTTTAGATTTTTCCTTTTTATTTTTTTTTTTTTGGCAAATGCGCTATTACATTTGCTTTAAATTGCACTTAGCCGCTGACAAAGCACGAGCCGAGGATGCCGTCAAGTACGGGTACAGAAGGAATACAGGAGGGCAGACAGCAGAGTGAAATCGAAGAGTATGGAGTAGTATAAGTCACAGGCATCATTACTCTTGGCAGGCAGTCGAGCGCATGAGTTGACAACTCTGTGTATTGGCAGACATTTTGGAGAAAGACAATATTGCACATGTCATTGACTTGAGGTAAGAGAGTGGACTAACTTGGTTGAGTTAGATGAAATGGCTGAGTTGGTAGTTGATAGTTGGCAGTAGTGCCTGTTGGCTATGACTTATTCATGTCAGCCGCTAACACGGCTCGAGTTGGACCATCTTGCCAACTCTGAAGGCAAAGCAAAAGTTAAAAATCTCAATCAGGGAGCTGCACTAAGATTCACTTGGGCAATGCCATTTGCCATGTGGCGCTGGCATACTAATGAACTGTCACACTCACGCATCCTGTGTTACTAACCAGCCAGAGCGAACAGTGACTCAGAGTCACCTGTATTTTGTCAGGTTGCTGCCCATCTGAAGTGCCCATATATCTTTTCCAGTAGTGCGCTTAAATTACACTAAATCACAGCCAAACAAATTGAATTTTAAGTTTACAGCCCACAGGCAAAGCCGCAATGCAGCCGCAAGGATGAAAATCACTTGAAAAAGCCACAGTAGAGCGTTGCCAAATTGACGAGGCAGCATTCAGTCCAGGATGCTCACACTACACACTCACAGCCACCCATCCTCTCGCCCACTCAGGTGTCTTTCATCTTCATCTTATTGTACTCGTGGTTTACAGGCCGGTGGCACCCGCACAGACATTAGGCTGACAAACAATGCAGCCGCTGCGGCCAAGCCTCAGTCCTCTCACTCCATGTCTCTGTTTTTATATCCCCCTCTTACAGTCTCTTTATCTTCATCTTTCTTTCTGGCTAACTCTCTCGTTCTCTCCCCTGTGTGAGTGTGTGTGTGTGTGTGTGTGAGTTTGGACAGATTGAAGTCAGATGGTCAACACTTGAAATTGCACTTAGTGGGCATTGCAGCTATACAGGATACTACAATCGAAACAGATGGCCAAATGATTTCGTATAGAATACAAAATTGTAACTTCATTCTACTGGAATCGTTATCTTTATTTGATAAATAAGTCAGGCCATTGCGACATTGGAAAAGATTTCATATCCAAGAATACAAACAAGAAAAACTATAAAATAATAATAAGTACAAATACATTTTTATACATCTCTTTTTATTTATTAAATATTTGTCCTTATGTATACTGCATAAATCTTTGATTTAGAGCCCAAGTGGGAATATTGAGCATCTTAAAATAATGTGATATTAGTAATAAGTATATAAAGTCTCAGAACACATTTAAATGTTTAAATTTAATTTGATGCCAAAGGGAGCACAGATTATTTGGAAGAGTGAAATAGCACCAATTTCTACATATACATAAATATTAATATTATACCATATAGTATGGTCAATATTGCCTATCGTCATGCTTGCATACGCTAAATTTTGAACACTTTCGCATAGTGTTCAGCCCACTGGTAACAGGCACAAATACAGACCCATTTCAACGCGCAGGTTCAGACGCCGTCTCCAGTTTCAGAACGTGGGCGTTGACTAACGAACACTAACAACAAAATCTTAAAAATGCACTTGGCTAGCGTTCAACATGGTGCGCCAGCGTCCCATACCTTGGATCGCGCTCCGGTTGTCTTACAAGCATGCAGTCCGGGCAGGGGCAGCCAAAACTGGCCAGGATACCGTTTAGCTACCTGTCTGGGTCGGCAATCTGGTGATCTGCGGGGGATTGGATACGTACAGCAACACCAAACTGCTTTGCATTCCAAGCTGTTCAAATGTTAAAGGCGACAGCGTCGTTGCCTTCGTCCTTCCAATGTTTTTGTG